AAATTTCGTTTAAATTCTTCCATAAATAAAAAAGGTGGCACTGCGCATGCGCAAAACCAAATTTTGAAATTGGCGTTTGATTTTCCTTTATCCCAAGTGCCTATGTATCAAAATTCGTTTAAATTCTTCCATAAATAAAAAAGTTGGCACTGCGCATGCGCAAAACCAAATTTTGAAATTGGCGTTTGATTTTCCTTTATCCCAAGTGCCTATGTATTTCAAAAGTGCCTATGTATCAAATGTCATTCAAATACTTTTATAAGTAAAAAAGTTTGCAATTCGGTTTATAAATGGTCGAGATGCGAAAAGGGCACTGTGAATTTTGAATCGATTCGATTCAACTTTTGGAATTGCGTATTATATGGTTATAGCTATGCCCATATTGAATTTCATGCAATTCAGTTCATAACTAACGGAGATGTAAAAGCGATCGAACATTTCTAAACAAAGTTATCGTTCACACGGACAGATAGATGGACAGACAAACAAAGGAACAGACGGAGAGACCAACCGGCAGGCGACAGATAGCAATGCAAAATTATAAACGATCTCTAGGATCGTTAATAAACGGCAAAAGTGTAAAATTATGGAACATGTAAAAACGGTTTTTTGTTTTTTTTACAATAACTTTTTTTGTAAGCGGTACAGAAAAAATTCCTTCCTTGGTACAAGATTCGACACCATAACGAACCAAATAGCGAAAAAAGTAGAACAATAGCTCTTAAGATAAAAAACTAGTAGCGTCGCAAAGTTAGCGGACGGACGGACGGACGTACGGACGGACAAAGTGGCCACAATAGCGCATTTTTTTTTATTTTTGTGGAAATGCGCTAAAAAGTAGAAAACCTGGTTTAAGAGACCAAAAGCGCAATATTCTAAAAGGAAAAGTACATGAGCTCCAGAGAAGACGTAGCACCAATACAATAAGGCTTAAATTAGAAGATTTCATTAATTAATAAGTTTTTCCCAAAGTAGATAAAGGAGCTTAATGAGGTTTAAAAAAAAGTTAGTATGTGAACTGGAAGTAAAAAATTCGCTTATCACTAAAGTGTTGGGTATGCATGTTGACGCAATAGCAATAGAAATGTTTGAACAGTGTAACATTCGTAGAATGATATTGGTTGAGATATATGTAAATACATGTGTATACAATGCCAGTCTCTAACTTGGAAAATTCACAACATTAAGTTTGTGTGCGGAAATATGCTCGGACACGTCAATTAGCATTTTAAATTGCGGTCTTTGCGATGTAACGAAATTTTACACAAGGTACAGCAAATTTGAGATATGCCTTATCGACTATTTTTTTAAATTGCAACGGTAGGTTATATCAACTTATACATGTGTGCCAGATTTGAAATTTTTATTGAAGATATTTATTAACAAAACTTGGAATGTCAAAAGGTATTACCTTGAACTTTAATTAATTTTTCGATTTCGATTTTCTACATTTTGATAGACTTGAATGAGTCGGCTAAGTCGCTCTTTAACCGTGAAACATGTGACTGTACATTCTAATGACATCCGTCATTCTCACTTTAAATGAGACACCAAACACGAAATAAAATGACGTTCAGAACGTATGATAATGCGTTTTTTTATTGAAACGACCGCGACGACAGAACCTACGCTTGCTATTTTTGACGTCTAAATTAAATTCAAAATTGTCAGAAGCTTTACAATGGCTTCTGCTATAAAATAAAGCTTTTACCCGACGATAAATGGAAACAAACCATCTCGTGAATCATCTTTCACTCAAGGGTTAAAATACCCCTTTATCGTCTTATTTAATAAATAACTATCAATTAAGTAAATTAGCACATGGAGGTATAGACGACAGGAAAATTCGTTAGTATCTGCATTACCTGTAACTGATGAAGTAGTGCACAGGAATTTACTTGAATCACTTCTACAATTTGCGTTTTAATTGCTCACGTTATGGTTAGCAAAATAAAAATAAGACTAATCAGTGTATTTTAATCAACTCCCATGGTTTTGTAAACACGTCAAGGCTAGCTGTACACTTAATAATACAAAATCTAGTTCTATTTTATTCCTTAGAAATTCTGGTGATACCCCTATAGAGGGTAACTAAACAAATATCTGTTTACCAATGTACTGAATGTCACTCTTTTATTGTATGTATTGGTAATTTTAGAATGTCCATTACTGGCTGGATGACAAATCGAGGAAGAAAAAATGTTACACCATTTTTTAATCGACTAGAACTAAACTGCGTTTCATTATCTACAGGGTGGCAATTTGAAAACTTGCCCCCTCCCCCCCATGTCTTAGTAAATAAACGAGATATTTTAAAGATCAAAATCTGTTTCGGTAATTCGGCGGGGGAATCATAATGGCATAGTTGGCGACGCACCAACCTCCAACCCCCTGTATCCCACCAACCCCAACTTTTAAATCTTAAATAATGACCCCCCATTTGTGATATAGTAATTATCGTGCAAATCAAAGAATAAACTAATATAATACATTTTCTGAAGTTGGCTTTTATTTCAATAAATGTTCAAAATGGTTTCCGTTATTGGTAAGACAGTAGTATAATCTATTCTCAAACTCTTGTCGAACCTTTTCAAATGTTGGTTTTGCAATATTTCGACATTCTTGAATTATTTTCTGTCTTCGTTCGTCTATGTTCGCCGGTTGCGTTTTAAATACGACAGATTTCAAATGTATCATTTTAGTTTATTTTTTGATTTGCACGATAATTACTAACCTAAATATAATTCTATGTGGTATGGTTGGAAAGCATATTTTCAGAGCTTTCCAACGACGTGGAGGGGCACTATTTAAGATTTAAAAGTTGGGGTGGCTGGGGCGCAGGGAGTTGGAGGGGGTGCGTCGCCAACTATGTCATTGTGATTCCCTCCCCAAATTACCGAAACGGATTTTGATTTTTTAAAATATCTCGTTTATTTACTAAGACAAGGGGGAGGGGGGTAAGTTTTCAAATTGTCATCCTGTACAACAGTTAAGTCATGTAACCCCGTTCGTGTGAAACGCTCCCCAAAACTTTTCAATTGTTTCGTCTGCAGCAGTAATTGTGTTCATTATAAATGCGTCCGGTTATTTTGAATACGAATATTATTATGATTCCTAAAGGGATGGTCCCAGAAAATCACAATTTTTGAAAGAATACTGTTTTTCCATAGGAGGCGACATTCTGAGTGCCTACTTTTAGGGCCAAGCGGGATATTCGGGGTGCGGATCATCCGGTGCTCAAAGGCAAATTAATATAACTACAATTTTAACCCATTTTTAACGCGGGCATGCCCAAAAGTCGACGATTAATCGTAAATCATTTAGTTGAAATTGTCAGCCGAAAGATCAAACTTTTGGAGTTGCAGGTATGCCAAATGTTGGTGTTTCATTGATCCTTAAGGGGCGTTTAAGAGATGTTAAACACTTTGAAGAGATTTACGAATATTTAAGCATTCATGAGTTGTTTTTCCTCAAAATGTTTTCATTTCTACAGCATCTAAATCCCTTAACAGGCCTTTAAAATCCATGGAAGAGCTTTTAATGATATTTATAAGAACTTAATACCGGAAAGTTGAAGACCCTTTAACACCTTTTACGACCTATAAGAGTATCCAAGTGACTGGTTCTGGCCTACTTTTTATACAGAACAGTTGCTTACCAGCCTTCCTACATCGTTAACTAAAAAGGACCACCAAATGTAGGACCCCATATGATAACATTATAGCGAACATTCCAGAAATCTCGATAGATATCGAGGTGCCGTAAAAAATTAGTCATCGGTAATAAAGAACGAAGGCGAATGTGACGTAATCTTCTTTAAATTGGGCACAGTTGTGTATTTTGCTTAACAAAATGCAGTTTTAAAACTGAAAAAATTCCGACTACTTTCGGAGATATGCGGAATAAAACGAAATTATTTTTGCTGAAGTTATTTAAGAAGATATTTTAAAATAAATGACACATTATCATAGCCACTTTTTCCCTCTGAAAGATGTTAGCTTTCAATTTTAAGTCTGACGTTTCGTCTCCAGTTAACCATCATCAACTTTGTTTTTTCTTATGGAAGCCATTTTTACTTTATGTGTCATTTGATAGAGCATTTTTATGTGATTTGCGATTCGGTACAAGACGGGCCAAGAAGAAACTGTGGGCAACGAGTTCGTGGAAAACCTGCGTCAGAAATTAGGCGCTATCCATGATAATATTCGCCATAATAATGCAGTTGGCAAGCGACAGAATGAAATTGCAGTACACCATGAAGATCCAGCAGGTGGTTACCAACCTGGAGATCTGGTATGGCTGTATCGTCCCCAGAGGAGACGCGGACAATCCCCAAAATTACTACAGTGAGCTTGGGAAGGACCGTACACGTTGTGAAGATAATAAACGACTTAATATATCGGCTACGGAAACTACCACGAGGAAAGCCGGTGGTATAGTAGGGGATCTTCCTCGAAAATCAGCGAGAGCGAGAGTGATCAAAATTTTAACCGATGAAGGTCCACTTTGGTCCTAGGTCAATACGGTACTTCTTGCGATACCAATTCTAACCAGTTTTTTTTTAGAAAATAAGTTATACACTAAATGAAAACGTTGATAGTAATAGCTCTTAAAAAATATTTAAAAATCCGCGTAAAGAACTATTCTCAAGTCAGTTTTTCACTAATTTTCTACGGATGTAACTAGGTTACGGTTGGATTAATGCAGCTGATTTTTTTGTACAATTTTTATTATTTTGATAATGTAAAAATAACACATTTCGTCAAAATCTGAATTTCTGCACACCCCTATTTACAGAATCAAAGTGGGTATGTCCAAGGACCTACGCAAAACCGTAAGTTCAATCCTTCTATCGTAGGGTTAGCGAATAGATGCCATTTTCATTAAAAAAGAAATTCAAATTTTAGAATGAACCAATTTTTAGCCCGAAAGAGAGCCTTTTCGTAGCATTTAGATGCATTCCCAGGAAAGGAAAAACTATTTCAAAATCGATAAAGCCATTTAATTTAAAATTTTCTTGGTTTTCCTTACATGTATAAAAAGCCTGTTCATATGATACATTTAGGTATAGATAAATAATATACATAACATAAATTTATACATAAAACAGATTACTAAAGTTTTGCAACATATCCAAAAATCATATGATACTTCAGGCAACAATATTCTTTATTATCTTCTTTGGTATGTACATCATTCCACTCCCTTAAAACATCTAGGCAGGCTGACGGAAAATCTAGAGGCAACTCGATTGGCGAGTGCGAAAACATAAATGCTACAAAAAAGGGTCAGCGCTTTCAGATATTGTAATACATGCTTTTCGCTTACCGGAAGCGGACTCCGTCGGCAACATGATATCCTTTGGTTCGATGCTCAACTGTAAAACTTTAAATCCAATTTTTAACAGCATTCGTTCGAGATCAATTATGGGATCCGAGGAGAATTGGTATGGGCATAGATACTTATGATATTCCGACATGGACGGCTTCCACTTCTCGGTTCCAGCCAGAAATCGGATTGCTTCAAACAAGTTACACTTTACGAAGCAGGTGAAGAAGAAGTCACCACTTGGTTTCAACAGCCTGTAAATATTCCTTAGCGCTAGCCTAAAAGACCCAAACATTGGCAATTGGTACCCAATGGTGAAAGCTACTTACTCCTGTTCGCCTACAAAGTGCAGGCAGTAAAATGAGAAGATATGATCGAAATGCTCTTCGTAGTCCGTTCCGTGAATTTGGCAGTTAGCGATATCCATTTGTTCAAAAACAATCTTGTCGCCGTACTTTTCATTCGCATACTGTACGAATTCGGTTAATATGTCGACACCAATTATGGTATTTCTCGATTCTGGTAGAATTGGCAGAAGAACGTCGTGCGTAACGTTCCCAGTTCCACAACCGATGTCCAGCACATTGCAATGGGGCCGCCATGCCATGGTCTGTTTGATTTTTTCGATTGCGTCCCTCGCATCCCTTTGAGCGAGAAGACTGTGCGTTCGGAATGTTTGAGCTTTGTACATTATAAATTCGTGTGTGGTAACGCGGTCTTAATAGAACTAGCTTTGATTTCCAATATTCCCACTCTATCTGCAACAAGTTAGTAAACAATCCTCCATTAGTTTGCTTTCCCTGTCGCTACGTAGGCAAAAACCACTCCATCGAACACACGTACACAACGAATTTCGTGGAATTCTCTCCGTTTTCGTTGTCCGACCAAGAATTGCAGGGAGAACTTTTTTTTCGAATTTTAAAAAACGAATGTCATATTCGTGATTTTCATGTTCAAAACCCCCCAGATACCAAATTTCGTCAAAATCCCCTCTCTTGTTATGAATTTTGAAAAATTTGTTCAAAATCGGATAGGGCATACCCGAAAACCTATTTAAAGACGTGCCACCCATCTCATATAACACCCTGTATATGAGACCCAAATCGAAATAGCAGCGGCATAGGGAAACGAAAGAAAAGGTTCTTCTACTTTAAGTTATTGCCTTATTTTCTTATTCTTGAAACTGTTTGTGGAGATTCGAAACCCTTTTTGGCCATTTACACAAGACTCTATTTTAAAATCCTCTTTAACGTTCCTATGGCAGGAGAGATCTCAATTCACTGGCCGAGACATATCTATTGCTGGAGACAAAAAGTGCGAATTTCAATACCGGATATTTTGAATGTGTGCCAAGCAATCAGCAAAGCATTCGGAAACGCTTCTTTAACATCCTCAAATTGGCGTTCTGTGGTGTTCTCGGGTAGCCTTCTTTCTTCAATCTTTTGACAACAAGTGTAACAAGTTAAAAAGTAATTGTAAACGATTTACATAAAGCGCATTTCCACTTGCATTCATTTCCCATTTGTAAGATGCAACTTCTGTTAAAATCGTAAAAATCCGCCCACAAATATGAAAGATAGCGTTGCACATGAGCAATCCATTGTTGACGTGCTACTTCAATTTCAGTTTATGAGAAGAATTTCATTTCAATGCTTTTCTAAATAAGAAAGTTGGAACTGCCCATGCGCAAACCTAAATTTTGAAACTAATGTTAGATTTTCCTTTGTTCCAAGCGCCTAAGTATCAAATTTCACTTAAATGCTTCCATAGATAAAAAAAGTTGGCACTGCGCATGGGCAAAATAAAATTTTTAAACTGGCGCTAGATTTTCCTTTATTCTAAGTGCCTATGTATCACATTTCATTTAAATTCTTCCATAAATAAAAAAGTTGGCACTGCGCATGCGCAAAGCCAAATTTTGAAATTGGCGTTTGATTTTCCTTTATTCCAAGTGCCTATGTATCAAATTTCATTCAAATACTTTTATAAGTAAAAAAGTTTGCAATTCGGCTTATAAATGGTCGATATGCGAAAAGGGCACTGTGAATTTTGAATCGATTCGATTCAACTTTTGGCATTGCGTATTATATGGCTAAATCTATGCCCATATTGAATTTCATGCAATTCAGTTCATAACTCACGGAGATGTAAAAGCGATCGAACATTTCTAAACAAAATTATCGTTCACACGGACAGATAGATGGACAGACAGACAAAGGAACAGACGGAGAGACCAACCGGCAGGCGACAAATAGCAATGCAAAATTATAAACGATCTCTAGGATCGTTAATAAACGGCAAAAGTGTAAAATTATGGAACATGTAAAAAACGGTTTTTTGTTTTTTTTACAATAACTTTTTTGTAAGCGGTACAGAAAAAATTCCTTCCTTGGTACAAGACTCGACACCATAACGAACCAAATAGCGAAAAAAGTAGAACAATAGCTCTTAAGATAAAAAACTAGTAGCGTCGCAAAGTTAGCGGACGGACGGACGGACGGACGGACGGAAAGTGGCCACAATAGCGCATTTTTTTTTTATTTTTGTGGAAATGCGCTAAAAAGTAGAAAACCTGGTTTAAGAGACCAAAAGCGCAATATTCTAAAAGGGAAAGTACATGAGCTCCAGAGAAGACGTAGCACCAATACAATAAGGCTTAAATTAGAAGATTTCATTAATTAATAAGTTTTTCCCAAAGTAGATAAAGGAGCTTAATGAGGTTAAAAAAAAAGTTAGTATGTGAACTGGAAGTAAAAAATTCGCTTATCACTAAAGTGTTGGGTATGCATGTTGACGCAATAGCAATAGAAATGTTTGAACAGTGTAACATTCGTAGAATGATATTGGTTGAGATATATGTAAATACATGTGTATACAATGCCAGTCTCTAACTTGGAAAATTCACAACATTAAGTTTGTGTGCGGAAATATGCTCGGACACGTCAATTAGCATTTTAAATTGCGGTCTTTGCGATGTAACGAAATTTTACACAAGGTACAGCAAATTTGAGATATGCCTTATCGACTATTTTTTTAAATTGCAACGGTAGGTTATATCAACTTATACATGTGTGCCAGATTTGAAATTTTTATTGAAGATATTTATTAACAAAACTTGGAATGTCAAAAGGTATTACCTTGAACTTTAATTAATTTTTCGATTTCGATTTTCTACATTTTGATAGACTTGAATGAGTCGGCTAAGTCGCTCTTTAACCGTGAAACATGTGACTGTACATTCTAATGACATCCGTCATTCTCACTTTAAATGAGACACCAAACACGAAATAAAATGACGTTCAGAACGTATGATAATGCGTTTTTTTATTGAAACGACCGCGACGACAGAACCTACGCTTGCTATTTTTGACGTCTAAATTAAATTCAAAATTGTCAGAAGCTTTACAATGGCTTCTGCTATAAAATAAAGCTTTTACCCGACGATAAATGGAAACAAACCATCTCGTGAATCATCTTTCACTCAAGGGTTAAAATACCCCTTTATCGTCTTATTTAATAAATAACTATCAATTAAGTAAATTAGCACATGGAGGTATAGACGACAGGAAAATTCGTTAGTATCTGCATTACCTGTAACTGATGAAGTAGTGCACAGGAATTTACTTGAATCACTTCTACAATTTGCGTTTTAATTGCTCACGTTATGGTTAGCAAAATAAAAATAAGACTAATCAGTGTATTTTAATCAACTCCCATGGTTTTGTAAACACGTCAAGGCTAGCTGTACACTTAATAATACAAAATCTAGTTCTATTTTATTCCTTAGAAATTCTGGTGATACCCCTATAGAGGGTAACTAAACAAATATCTGTTTACCAATGTACTGAATGTCACTCTTTTATTGTATGTATTGGTAATTTTAGAATGTCCATTACTGGCTGGATGACAAATCGAGGAAGAAAAAATGTTACACCATTTTTTAATCGACTAGAACTAAACTGCGTTTCATTATCTACAGGGTGGCAATTTGAAAACTTGCCCCCTCCCCCCCATGTCTTAGTAAATAAACGAGATATTTTAAAGATCAAAATCTGTTTCGGTAATTCGGCGGGGGAATCATAATGGCATAGTTGGCGACGCACCAACCTCCAACCCCCTGTATCCCACCAACCCCAACTTTTAAATCTTAAATAATGACCCCCCATTTGTGATATAGTAATTATCGTGCAAATCAAAGAATAAACTAATATAATACATTTTCTGAAGTTGGCTTTTATTTCAATAAATGTTCAAAATGGTTTCCGTTATTGGTAAGACAGTAGTATAATCTATTCTCAAACTCTTGTCGAACCTTTTCAAATGTTGGTTTTGCAATATTTCGACATTCTTGAATTATTTTCTGTCTTCGTTCGTCTATGTTCGCCGGTTGCGTTTTAAATACGACAGATTTCAAATGTATCATTTTAGTTTATTTTTTGATTTGCACGATAATTACTAACCTAAATATAATTCTATGTGGTATGGTTGGAAAGCATATTTTCAGAGCTTTCCAACGACGTGGAGGGGCACTATTTAAGATTTAAAAGTTGGGGTGGCTGGGGCGCAGAGAGTTGGAGGGGGTGCGTCGCCAACTATGTCATTGTGATTTCCTCTCCGAATTACCGAAACGGATTTTGATTTTTTAAAATATCTCGTTTATTTACTAAGACAAGGGGGAGGGGGGTAAGTTTTCAAATTGTCATCCTGTACAACAGTTAAGTCATGTAACCTCGTTCGTGTGAAACGCTCCCCAAAACTTTTCAATTGTTTCGTCTGCAGCAGTAATTGTGTTCATTATAAATGCGTCCGGTCATTTTGAATACGAATATATTATGATTCCTAAAGGGATGGTCCCAGAAAATCACAATTTTTGAAAGAATAAAGTTTTTCCATAGGAGGCGACATTCTGAGTGCCTACTTTTACGGCCAAGCGGGATATTCGGGGTGCGGATCATCCGGTAGCTCAAAGGCAAATTAATTCATGAGTTGTTTTTTCTAAAAATGTTTTCATTTCTACAGCATCTAAATCCCTTAACAGGCCTTTAAAATCCCTGGAAGAGCTTTTAATGACATTTATAAGTACTTAATATCGGAAAGTTAAAGACCCTTTAACACCTTTTACGACCTATAAGAGTATCTAAGTGCCCAAGTCCCTGGTTCTGGTCTACTTTTTATACAGAACAATTGCTTACCAGCTTTCCCACATCGTTACCTAAAAAGGACCACCAAATGTAGGACCCCATATGATAACATTATAGCGAACATTCCAGAAATCTCGATAGACATCGAGGTGCCGTGAAAGATGAGTCATCGGTGATAAAGAACGAAGGCGGATGTTAGGTAATCTTCCCCGCAAATATAACGTGTTATCTGATTTGCGGTTCGGTACAAGACGGGCCAAGAACAAACTGTGGGCAACGAGTTCGTGGAAAACCTGCGTCAGAAATTAGGTGCTATCCATGATAATTTTCGCCGTAATAATGCAGTTGGCAATCGACAGAATGAAATTGCAGTACAACATGAAGATCCAGCAGGTGGTTACCAACCTGGAGATCTGGTATGGCTGTATCGTCCCCAGAGGAGACGCGGACAATCCCCAAAATTATTACAAAGAGCTTGGGAAGGACCGTACACGTTGTGAAGATAATAAACGACTTAATATATCGGCTACGGAAACTACCACGAGGAAAACCGGTGGTATAGTAGGGGATCTTGCTCGAAAATCACTGAGCGAGAGTGATCAAAATTTTAACCGATGAAGTTCCACTGTGGTCCTAGGTTATCGTACTTAAGGCTCTGCGGTACTTCTTGCGATACCAATTCTAACCAGTTTTGTTTTTAGAAAATAAGTTATACACCAAATGAAAACGTTGATAATAATAGCCCTTAAGAAATATTTAAAAATCCGCGTAAAGAATTACTATTCTTAGTCAGTTTTTCACGAATTTTCTACGGATGTAACTAGGTTACGGTTGGATGAATGAAGTTGATTTTTTTGTACAATTTTTATTATTTTGATAATGGAAAAGTAAGACATTTCGTCGAAATCTGAATTTTTGCACACCCTCCTTTACAGAATCAAAGTGGGTATGTCCAAGGACCTATGCAAAACCGCAATTTCAATCCTTCTGTCGTAGGGTTAGCGAACAGCTACTATGCCATTCATTTAAAAAGAAATTCAAATTTTAGGATCAACCAATTTTTACGCCCGAAAGAGAGCATTTAGATGGGTTCCCAGGAAAGGAAAAACTATTTTAAAATCGATAAAGCCATTTAATTTAAAATTTTTCTTGGTTTTCCTTACATGTATAAAAAGCCTGTTCATATAAAACATCTATAGATAAATAATATACATAACATAAATTTATACATAAAACAGATTACTAAAGTTTTGCAACATATCCAAAAATCATATGATACTTCAGGCAACAATATTCTTTATTATCTTCTTTGGTATGTACATAATTCCACTCCCTTAAAACATCTAGGCAGGCTGACGGAAAATCTAGAGGCAACTCGATTGGCGAGTGCGAAAACATAAATGCTACAAAAAAGGGTCACAGCTTTCAGATATTGTAATACATGCTTTTCGCTTACCGGAAGCGGACTCCGTCGGCAACATGATATCCTTTGGTTCGATGCTCAACTGTAAAACTTTAAATCCAATTTTTAACAGCATTCGTTCGAGATCAATTATGGGATCCGAGGAGAATTGGTATGGGCATAGATACATGATATTCTTTACGAAGCAGGTGAAGAAGAAGTCACCACTTGGTTTCAACAGCCTGTAAATATTCCTTAGCGCTAGCCTAAAAGACCCAAACATTGGCAATTGGTACCCAATGGTGAAAGCTACTTACTCCTGTTCGCCTACAAAGTGCAGGCAGTAGAATGAGAAGATATAATCGAAATGCCCTTCGTAGTCCGTTCCGGGAATTTGGCAGTTAGCAATATCCATTTGTTCAAAAACAATTTTTTTGCCGTACTGTTCGCTCGCATACTGTATGAATTCGGTTAACTTATCGACACCAATAATGGAATTTGTCGATTTAGGTAGAATTGGTAAAAGGACATCGTGCGTAACATTCCCAGTTCCACATCCTATGTCCAGCACATTGCACTGGGGCCGCCATGTCACGATCCGTTTGATTTTTTCGATGCCGTACCTCGCATCCCTTTGAGCGAGAAGACTGTGCATTCGGAATGATTGAGCTTTGTACATTATAAATTGCCGTGTGTGTGTGGTAACACGGTCTTAATCGAACTAGCTTTTGAATAGATTTGATTTCGAATTTTCCCATTTTATCTGCAACACGTTGGTAAACATTCCTGCATTTGTCCGCTTTCACTATCGATACTTAAATTATCTAAAGTCCAAAGTTTTAAAAAATGGACAGACCAATTGGCGATCTGACTTCTTGAAGGAAATTGCTAGTCTTTATTGATCACCAGAAAAAATCTGTTTTCAAAACAAATTCGACTTAAAATAAAAAAATATCGAATTTTTGTAACTTTGGGAAGACGGGATCTTCAAGTTTTTTTAAGGTTTATTGCCAGTTTTCCTCTTCTTGAGATCTCGTCTACACCGTTCCATGACCTTGGCGGTTCGTTAATACTGCATTGATCCACTGCCTCCTTTAAAGACTCAGGCGTCGCCGTCGAGTTGTTTAGCAATTCTTTACGGTTTTTTATCGAAAAGACCAGATCATCCATGTGAAGTTGGCCCCGCCCACATTAAATAATTCGACAAAAAAGCGTCGACAGTTAGTGCCACGTTAGTGCTCGAAGCTTATCGTTAGTGCTACTACATAACATAAGAAAAATAAGACAGCTGGAACGGGGCACTCAACTTTTACTTATCGAAATAATGATCACGGTGTTAGTGCCATGTTAGTGCCATCAAATGCCAGATAAACAGTATCTCAAATTCTTTTCGCTGTTCCTAAAAAGTCAAGTGTGTGGTGTACCCAGGCCAGCCCCGAAACATTGCGCAACTCTATAATAATTAGCATTGCAAGATTAAATTTAGAAAATGGTTGTTCACCGAGGACAAATATGACAATAGGCTGGGAAATTAATATAATGTCGAATCATAGACTCCACTGGAATTCGTAAAGAATTGTATTTTTTTGCCTTTATTTTTGAGTGGGCGGGGTTTCAGCCAAGGCTGCTCTACCAACCCAACCCACTATAAATTTCCAAATATCCATGCCCGAACCCGGATTCGAAACAGAGACCCTTAGCACCACAGTCCAACTGAACGGCGCCATACATAAAGAAAAGTTTAAAAAGTCATTATGAAAACATAAATGACGAGAGCGTATTTTCCTCCTAATAATATTAATGCTAGGACCAGGAAAAAATACCGGTAGGCACGAGATCCTTACCCCATTCTCTTTCAAATGAGCCGCCTATCATCGAAGTCTATACAGTTTAGAGAAAAATAGTGGAACGTATACAAATACAAAAAAGTTTGAAATGGACATTAATTTTACTATTATTCGAAGTGTATACATATAAAACTTTTTTTAAATGCTTTCGTAAATAGCATTGCGCATTGTCTACATTAGAAATTTCATTGAATACCTTCAGAAATAAAACATACAGCATGCGTAAATAGTCATTTTGGAACCGGCATTAGTTTTAGTTTCATTCAAAGTGCCTACATATGATATTTCATTTAACTGCTTTCATCAATAAGAAAGTTGGCATTGCGCATGCGCAAAACAACATTTTGAAAATGTCGTTAATTTTACTTATATTCGTAGTGTTTACATATAAAGTTTCATTTAAATATCTTCATAAATAAAAAATTTCGCATTGCACATGCGTTAATCCAAATTTTTGACACTGCGCATGCGTAAAACAAAAAATATTGGTATGCACGGGAAATCCTTGGACTAAGCCCGTTCAAATGAGCCCTATATCGCCCACATCGGTTCAGTGGTGTAGAAGGAGTACGTGTGACGAACGGACGGACAACAAAGTGCTGCCAATAGCGATTTTTCACTTCGAGGAAAAGACGCTAAAAACAATCATTACAACATTACAAATAAATGTTCATAAGTTAACAAATAGCATTTATTTTTTCTTTAGCTAAAGAAAAAAAATGCTATTTGTCCTTTTTTAATTTGTTAATACTATTACCTCCACTTCAAACAGTAACATATTCATGCAAAAGAAAAGGAATGTGTTGCAAGAAATTCAACTATAAATTAACAATGTAGTTGTCGGTGTTTCCAAATACAGCACCATCTACGAATCACTATAATATTTATTAGATCTTTTAAATTTGGAATTCATATTGCGGGTTGGCAGGTAAAACCAGTGCTAGGAACAAAGGGATACTGTAAATTGGGAAACAACATATTTACGTAGAAAACATAATGGAATCTTGCATTTAATTCAACGTATGATCAGTACAATTATAAAAGGGCAATTTGTATTTAAAATGAGTTATAAATGACAATACCCATGCTGTACGGGAATGCCGTTAATTTGGCAAATAATCTAACACGATCATATAATTACTAGGTGGATGCAATAGACGTAAAGATAAAAGGAATACGTCACCTCTGTAATTGTCCCTCAACAAAAGCACAAATACCTCTGCCCAAATTTGCTCTTTCAAGCAAATCCTAAACGAAAATTGTTAATATCGATCGACGCGCCCGGTCGTGGGTCGATATGGATTATTAACTTTCCTCGTCCAGCGTTATGTTTGACACTTTTATTGTAAATTGTGGCCTATTTGAATGTAGGACAGAGAAGAAACGGTCAAAATTTTAGAAAATCTTACATAAAACGAAAACCATAACAGATAGGTATAGAGAATGTAATAATTGATCGATGTAGAATTTTTCCGCATTTGAAAGTGCAAAAAAATAAAGCAGGTTTCATTTGAAAAAATCAACCTTTTAAGATTTGAAGTTATTGAACTTGACCATTAATTTTAAAACACCCTGTAGAAGTGCTATCAAAATTTAAATCATTCGCACGTAGCATCACGTCAGCTTTGGAAGATTTTTTAAAATTCAAGTCAACGGAGCCATAGGCACAGAGCGCTAAATCAGTGAAACGTCAAAAATTTTAAAAAATCTTGAATAACTTGAAAACGTTTGATGCTGAGTATAGGGAAAAGTGGTATCAAACGACGTAGATTTTCATGTACATTTCGAAAATGCGATAAAATATAGGGTGTTCTATTTAAAATAAGAAAGTTGCTATCCACATTCGGTAAAACCGGAAGTGAAATGATCGTGATAATATTTTCCTTTGATAGTTCGGTGTTATGTCGTTCTTTTTGTTTCCAGGAATCAACGTGGTAAATTTCATTTTGAAAATGCACAGCGTGCCGTAGAAATCACCTGTAAAAATTGAGTGACGCTAAGACTGTTTTGATTGTTTTGCAGTTTAGGACTGTGGCAACTTCAAGATGGTCGCAACCTTTTTGACTGATAGCCAAACGGAGTAATCCGGTGAATCTAACTCGGTCGTCCCAAAATCTCATTAACTTACGTTGACGGTGAAGTTGTTTTGTGTTAAGTAGACGAAAAACAGTACGTACATGTTGGACGTCTTCTTGAAAGTTATCGGGCGCAGTCAAAATTCAAATATAAACGAAAATACCTGTAAACATATTATTGACGACTTTGGGCCGTGTTACAAAGATTGGAATTGGCATTGGCACCTAATGTAAGGCTCTCTGAAGATCCACTTTGGAAAATCTTTTTGCCGCTAATAAAACTTTTGACATCCGATATAAAAGGTAGCGGATATTTAACAAACGAAAATTATCTGTCATTCTTATTTCAAATGGGACGCGGAGCACGATATAAAATGCCGTTCAGAACTTATGGCAATGCTGTTTCTATCGAAACCACCGCGACGGCAGAACCTAAGCATGTTATTTTTGACGTCTCAATTAAATCCAGAATTCTGAGAAGTTTCTATTATAAAATAATGCTTTGTATAATACAATAACTAACCAATTCGTGAAAGGATAATTTTTCACTCAATGGTCTTGTATAGTAATAACTATTAGAATTTCACATTTTTCTCTTTACGTGTACAAAACAGCCTGTTCCTATAAAACATGACACATATATATATATATATATATTATAAAACACATGACTAAAGTTTTGCAACATGCCCAAAAATCATTTGATATCTCATGCACACAAACTCTTTATTATCTTCTTTAGTGTGTACATCATTCCACCCCCTTAAAACATCTACGCAGGCTGACGGAAAATCTTTAGGCAACTCCATTGGCGAGTGCGACAGCACAAATCCTACAAAAAGGTCACAACCTTCAGGTGTAATGTACTCATTCGCTTACCGGAAACGAACTCGATCGGCAGCATGGTATCCCTCGGTTCGATGCTCAATTGTAAAACTTTGAATCCAGTTTCTAACAGCATTCGCTCGAGAACATTTTTGGGATCCGACGAGAATTGGTATGGGCATAGATACTTATGAAAATCCGACACGGATGGCTTCCACTTCTCGGTTTCGGCCAGAATTGTCACAGCTTCAAACCCGTTACATCGTACGCAGCAGGTGAAGAAGAAGTCTCCTCCTGGCTTCAACAACCTGTAAATATTCCTTAGGGCGAGACTAAAAGACCAAAAGATTGGCAATTGGGTAAATGCTCGTGAAATTTGCTTACTCCTGTTCGCCTACAAAGTGCAGGCAGTAGAATGAGAAAATGTGATCGAAATGCTCTTCGTAGTTCGATCCGGGAATTTGGCAGTTAACAATATCCATTTGTTCAAAAACAATCTTGTCGCCGTACTTTTCATTCGCATACTGTACGAATTCGGTTGACTTGTCGACACCAATAATGGAATTTGTCGATTCTGGTAGAATTGGTAGAAGAACGTCGTGCGTAACATTCCCAGTTCCACAACCGATGTCCATCACATTGCAATGGGGCCGCCATGTCACGATCTGTTTGATTTTTTCCATGACGTACCTCGCATCCCTTTGAGGGAGAGCATTGTGCGTTAGGAATGTTTGAGCTTTGTGCATTGTGAATTGCCGGGTGTAGTAACGCGGCCTCTTGTAACTAGATTTAACTTCAAATTTGCGCACTTTACCTGCAACATGTTGGTAAACAATCCATTAGTCTAACACGGCTGCAACAAACAACCCAATTTTATAAACTAACACACAGTAATTTTTAACCAATTTTCAAAAAAGGGACCTTTTGCAATACATATATCTATCCGTTTAATAATATTCTTTCGGACATTGGATAACATAGCTGGTGCTTACCGATACATACAGTGATATTTATTAAGAAGTGGACATATCCTTTTGAAAGGCGTCTGACTTCTTAAAACAAATAGCGATCTGGTACTGATAAAGTAGCCATAGCGAAAAACAATTAACGTAAATCCCTATGTCTACTTCTTAATAAATATCATTGTACATCGAAAATCAATGGAGATAGCATACAATTTTATTAACGAAATTAAAGGTTCTTGAATAAGTTAAAACATGACATCTGACCATTTAAAAGCACATAAATGGAATTTTATTTTTTTTTAATTTAACCTCCCCCCCCCCCCCTACTTGCGCTCATTATGCGCGACCGATAATAACTTTTGCACCGTCATCGTTTATTAAAAATCCGAAAATACATTTGCAGGGAGCCAAGTATGCGTAGCCCCCCCCCCCCCCCCCACTACGTATTTTGTCGCTGGTATCAATGAATCTATTGAATTAAAGTAATTGATAATTTTATTAAGACGCCAAGGGATCGCCAGAATTTTTGAAATTGCAAAGGGGTGGCATATTCGAAAGGGTTGTAAAACACTGGTATAAAGGGTCTCTAAACAACTATAATGGCGCAAAGATTTCTGTTTACGTCGCATTATAGCGCTAGATGTAGTACGATGTAGCGCAAAAAATATGTTAAAAAACGTTAAGTTAGCCCTCTCCCCTTATAGCACAGGGACCATACAGGATGACGAATTAGAGACAAGCTGAAATTGGGCAAGGTGCTTTGTTTTAAGGTATTAAATACCGTCTGAAACCCCAGCGCCGATGCGTTGGGCTCGACACCCCAAAACCACCCTCTAATAAGTAGCGTAAAATCTACCTTTTTTGAAGTTTTGCTCCATAACTCTAAAACTAAGCATTTTAAGACAAAATGTCAAGAGAGAAAAATTGTAGAGAAGAAAATTTGCTACCAAACCAAAATACGTATACATCAAATTATATGTTCAGTGACGCAATTTTCAGCAATTCACTACTCACTAAGGTTGCCTAAAACATGATGAATTGAATACTGTCTCCTGTAAGGGGGTCTTGGAAGTGAACCCCCCCCCCTAACTCTAATCAGTCATCTCCAGTCCAATCGTGGGTGTATCGGCTTTTCCGGCACCTCATTCTTACAAATTTGATGTTGTTTTCTTATAAAGTAATGCGCTCACACGCGCCATTATCGTTTTTTAGCAATCCGAAAACACATTTGGAAGCCGCCAAGTATAGGCACCCCCCCCCCCCTACGTATTTTGTCGCTGGTATCTATACCATCTGATACATCTGCGCTCAATTGCGCCATTGAATTAAAACTAGCGCCATCACGGTTAAGCCATGACAAATTTTCAAAAAAGGGCGGGGGGGGGCAACTATTTCTAACTGGACCATTAGAATAACAGTTTGGAATTTTAATTCGGGACCCATTACCTTTTTTTGAATAATCGATCATAACGAATCATTTAATCATATTTTCAAGATCGCCGCTTTTCCGGTTGTATCAGAACGATACTGGAACTTTCTTATTGCAAATGGCACTATCTTTTCTGGTGCCATTTTTGAAATCCTCATAAAAAATTAGTATAATTTTGTCAATATGATGCTATTACTGACATGGTTTCGAAGTTTGCAAAACTTTTCTAAAGTGGACAGTTTTTTTTTTGCAAGTACAATTTTTTATCGGAAAGGCAACTTTTGGGCGGCCGAAGCCGACTACCCCTCGAAGACTAAACGGGGAATGAGGTGCCGGAAAAGTCGAGACGCCCACAATTGGGGTGGGGGTGGTTACTTAGAGTTATGGGGGGTCACTTCGAAGACCCCCTTGCAGGCAGTATTGAATTCATCATGTAGTAGGCAACCTAAGTGAACAGTTTGCGGCGTTTTATAGTAATATTAGGAAATACTATAGGATTTCGGTTAAGTAGTTGAATGAGTTGATGAAATTTGCGCCACTGAACATCTAACAAATTTGATGCATATGCATATATGGTAGTAAATTTTCTTCTCTACAATTTTTCTCCCTTGACATTTCTTCTTAAAATGCTTACTTTTAGAGTTATGAACAAAAATTTCAAAAAAGGTAGATTTTATCCCACTTAGGGGGTGGGTTTAGGGTGACGGGCTCAACGCCTCGACGCTGGGGTTTCAGATGGTGTTTAGACCCTTATAACAAACTACCTTGCCAAATTTCAGCTTGTCTCTAATTTGTTGAACGTTACGGGGGGCTACATATGCCCCCCTCCCCCTAATGTATTTTCGGATTGCTAAAAAAACTAATGGCGCAAGAGTTATTATCGATGCCGCATGTGGGCGCCTAACGAGTTCATTCATTTATAATAATACGACTATGAAATCTCTAAGTGTGTTGGGGGGGGGGGGCAAACCACAAGCGTCGCTTTCCTCTTGATTCAAATAAACAAGCAGTATAATCTGTAATCTTGTAAATAACTATTATAAATAGTTTTTTTATTAATAAACCGACTTGACTTGACCAATATTTTAGTTCAGTCAATGAAAGGGTTATTGGGTTTGTTGCAATTTATGACCTGGTGTAGGATAGTTTGTAAGTAAACATACTGTCGTCCTGATGTCTAGAGTGAGGCAAAGACCTACTTTTCTTGTTTTTGTGTTTAAATCTCGAAAGCGGTGCGTCATAGGAAGAACTGTTCTGACACTAAATAAAAATTGATAGCATTGATTACAGCTTTGATTCTATTTCTATATTGGCAAACTCCGGGTTTAGGAATAATAAAGAAGAACGAAAGATACATTTTTTAATGTGTGCCCAATTTCAAATTTCTCAAAGATATTTAACAAAAGTTGAACGCCAAAAGGTATTGCTCTTGAGTTGAATTACTTTTTCGTACTTTTTCTCACTGTGCCTATATTAAAAAATGTATTTTTACTATTAATAGTAATTTATTATATAAGATATTATAAATATTGAGTGAAAGATGCCATGTAAATCATTGTAAACGCTTCTGACAATTTAATTTAGACGTCAAACTAAAGTGTTCTGCATAGAAACAGCATTGTCATATGTTCTGAACGTCATTTTACATCGTGCTCCGCGTCCCATTTGAAATTAGTATGACAGATGTCATTAGAATGCATACTCATCTGTTTTACTTTATCTACCCTTGCGATTAAAGTGATCACCGTATCTACCATCACGGTTAAAGAGCGACTCAGCCTACTTAAATATTCAAACCTGTAAAAATGGCAAAATCTGCTATAAAATAAAACAATTTAAAACGGATTGATATACCGAACAGCCATTTATTTGATTAAGAGAGGTATATTAGCACCTGGAATTGAATAATATTATAAAGAGGACAGGAATTTGTGGTGTTACTGCATTACTGGTGAAATAGTGTACTTACTTGAATCACTTCAAAACTTTCGTTTAATTGATCATCTCTTATGGTTAGCAAAATAAAAATAAACCTAATAACAGATTTAATTGTGATTAGTTCACATGATTTCGTCTAAACGTCAAAGGCTATCAGTACACTTGCTATTTGCTTTTGAGTGTTTATACATTTCATTCATTAAATGGTTCATGTCTAACGATAAATCTACGTTTTGAATCTTTGACGAAAGTTAAAAAACTCTTGACGTATTATTGTTTTGCCTAATGCACATTTTCAGGTCGGATTTTTTATTATACCTGAATCACAATCTCCGTTTTAAACACTCAAATGCGTGCGAAAAAAGGCCTTTAAAACACACGTGCTTTAAAGTTGCTAGGTAATGATACTTCAAGTATACTTTTGAAACTGTCAACAACACCCAGCCCACTTAATTAGACATGTATTCAAGTATAACTTCAATATGATTTCATTGTATTTCCTATTTTAAAATTATACTGCAGGTATAATAAAAAATACTGTAAGATACACATGTACGTTAAAGTCGTTGCGCGTGCTTTAAAGACTTGATTAAGTATACACTTGTGTCTTAATATACTATTTCGGGTAGCGAACTTCCAAAGGCAAAACTACAATTTTAACCCATTTTCAACGTTGGCGTGCCCAAAAGTCGACGATTGATCGTAAATCATTAAGTTGAAATTGGCACCGGAAAGATCAAACCTTTCTAATTGTCGGTGTGCGAAATGTTGGTGTTTTCATTGGTCCTTAAGGGTCTTTTAAAGGCTTTGCAGAGCTTTATTGGTGTTTACGAATATTTAAACATTCATGAGTCGTTTTTCTCAAAATGTTTTCAACTATTTCTACTACTTCAAACACATATCAAGGGGCTCCTGAATCCTTCACGGAAAGATACTTTAATTCTATAGTGCGCTCTCCCTGGGACACACGATATAAGACGATAAAGGGATATTTTAACCATTGAGTGAAATGGTTAGTTTCCCTTTATCGACTATAGATCAGTACACACAGGATATAAAATGGTACCAAACTTGAAAAATATGAACATAAATTAATCGATTTCATACTTGGATCTTTGAAATTGACAGCTAATGACAGTTCGATAGTCTAGTTGGCAACAGAAATTACCAGCTTACAAAATTCACCACTGGTTTTCTGTGTAATTGACTCGTGCTTTAACCAATCACAGTAAAGATCGAAGCTTCCCCATGCTTTCTACCGCTACCTTCTTAGGTTCTGCCGTCGTTGTCGTTTCCCTAAAAACAGAATTGTCATATGTTCTGAACGTCATTTTATATCGTACTTCGCGTCCCATTTAAAGTATGAATGATAGATCATTAGAATGCACAGTCATCTGTTTCACTTTATCTACCCTTGCGGTTAAAGTGATCGCTATAGGTCAAATAGCGACTTAGTGTACTCATTCAAACCTATTGAAATGTCAATTTAACATATGCTATGAAATAAATATGGTTTTTCTAGTATTGAAACAATTTAGAACGCATTCATATATTGATTTTATTAAATATACTGAAGCAGATATAGAATTTGTAGTGAAAATTCTGTAGTATCTGCATTACCTAGTACTGATACTGATGAAGTAGTGTAGAATCACTTCTACAACTTCCAATTTTTTGTTTAAATGACACTACGAGTATAGCTTTCATAACATATATAAACTACAGCGCTAATTTAAAACATAAAGAATCTAATTTAAAAAATTAGTAGAAAAGGCAAGGTCCGTAAGACAGATGCAGCGTTTCGTCTATTCGTTGAATTAAATAATTCCTGGATGTTGTTTCATTAGTAATACCACGAATTTTTACGCCAATCTCACTAATAAACTGTTTGGCAGCGGCGCCCCGCGTTGCCACATTTTGAAATTTGGAAAACGTACGACATTTCAGATTTACGAAACATTCTGTAAGTTAGTTTCTTGCCAATTGAAATTCCCGATTTAAATAACCTATTAAGGCGCTGTTACTCGACAATTTTTGTCTGCCTTTTGGGGAAATTTGTGACTGTATAAGTTTAGTAAAGTTTTGCTCTTGTTATTATGCTTTCGACACTTCGCTGACGCATTTGCGGATATCTTTTACAAGTTCTAAGGCCGTTGTCGGTATGTGCCAAAAATCTTGGCCTTGAATAATCATTTTTAGGTTTTTTACTTCTGGCTTACTTGCTTTTCTTTATAATTACCTACCTGATTGTTGCTTCCTACCTCGATATTACTGAGTGATAATCGCCGAACTTTGGATTCTCTCAATATTATGCAAAGAGATGCATTTGGAGTAGTGCCACCGTCATCATCTCATTTCAAGCACACTATAGATGAGTTTCTACCTTACCGGCAGAGTTCAGGGAAACCAAACACCTGATCTACCCGCACTAATAACCTGGTGACTGTTGTCTACGTTACTTTCTGATTACTACGAAGATTTATTTCTGTTAATTTGAATGCATTGTATCCTTCAAATTAGCTGTGTTATTCGAATCAAGGAATTATAATAAGTTTTACGCAAAGCAGATGAAGAACGTTAAAAAAAGTTAGTATGTGAACTTTAAGTAAGCGATTTGGGGTCCTTAATAAAGCTATTTAAGGTAATCTCAAATTTTCCTTGGTTTTCCATATATGTAAAATACAGCGTGTTCCTATAAAATATTACTATACATTGACTCAAGTTTTCGAACATGTCCAAAAACCATTTGATATTTCATTAAAAGGAACTCTTTATTATCTTCTTTAGTGTGCACATCATTCCACTCCCTTACAACATCTATGCAGGCTGACGGAAAGTCTTTAGGCAACTCAATTGGCCAGTGCGCAAACATATATGCTACAAAAACAACCTTAAGATGTAAATGTAATACATTCCTTCGCTTACCGGGAACGCACTCGATCGGTAACGCGATATCCTTTGGTTCGACGCTCAACTGTAAAATTTTAAATCCAATTTTTAATAGTATTCGTTCAAAATAATTTTTAGGATCTGACGAGGATTGGTATGGATACATATGCTTATCAATGTTCGACTCAATCGACTTCCACTTCTCGGTTCCGGACAGGAATCTGGCAGCTTCAAGCAAGTTAGGTACACCCTACGCCGCAGGTGAAGAAGAAGTCTCCCCCTGGCTTCAATAGCTGGTAAATATTCCTTAATGCGAGCCTAAAAGACAAAAAGAATATGGTGGAATAATGGTGAAAGTCACTTACTCCTGCTCGTTTATAAAGTGCAGGCAGTAAAATGAGAAAGTGTGATCGAAGTGAAAATGCAATAGTGTACCTTAAAGTTAAAAAAAAACACTCACTATACAACAATATTAGCATTGCAATGCCGCGCCGCCGGGCCTACCTCGACGAAGCCCGCCACGACTGGGTACGCATTCTGCATTACACCGGCTGAATCTCGCAGGCTCTTCAACAAAGTACGTACTATGTCATATCATTTTAAAGGTAATAATGGGAGCTACTTTTGGCTAAACACTTGTCTAAATGGTAGTAGTCGATGGTGAAAAAATTAGCTTTATACTATTTTTTCCCACTAAAAACACAGGTTGACTGGACTATTCGTAGTTCGTTCCGGGAATTTGGCAGTTAACGATATCCATTTGTTTGAAGATAATCTTTTTGCCGTACTTTTCATTCGCATACTGTAAGACGCATGTTGACATGTCGACACCAATTATGGCAGTTGTCGATTCTGGTAGAATTGGTAGAAGAACGTCGTGCGGAACGTTCCCCGTTCCACAACTGATATCCAGCACATTGCAATGGTCCCTCCATGTCACGGTCTGTTTGATTTTTTCGATGGCGTACCTCACATCCCTTTGAGCGGGAAGACTGACGGTTACGAATGTTTCAGCTTTGTTCATTATCAATTGCCGTGTGTGTAGTAACGCGTTCTTAGCTTGTGTTCTGATTTCGAATTTTCCCACTGTTGCCACAGATGGCGGGGATCTGATTTTTCGTCCGCACAACTTGAGGAGCTTACCGATTAGACAAAGGGTGAATTACAGTATTTAAATAAAACACCCTGCATTTGGTTCCAGATTCTAATCCTACATGAAGTTCTTAGTTTATTGTACGAGTCTCTAACGTGTCATGTAGTCATCGATGATTCTTTTAAACGCCACCCCTAATTTTTTATGACTTAAAAAGTATATCAAGTTATACATGTTACCAAATTTCAAATTTATGTTTCTATTTAGAAGATATTTAGTGGAATGCCAAAAGGTATTAGTATTAAGTTTAATTTATTTTTCGATTTATATAATGTTTTTGATGTGCCTAGTGAATTTTTTCTAAGTTAAAGACTCGCACTGTATATTAAAAACTTTTTCGTACTATTAAAACAATTTAAAACGCATTCATATACAGTGTGTCCCAGATCGAGTGGGATTGCATGGGTAACTTTCTTATTATTAAAGATACAGAATTGGTTAAATGAACAATGTTTTGCAGTTTTAGATGCTTATTTAAAATTTCCTTGTGGAAATTCAAAATGTCCAATAGGTTCGACCTCGGGTTCGACGTAAATTAAAAAAAACTAAAATTGGTCATTACCTTTAATGTCTTACATCATCGAAAGTATAAGAGATATAAAAAAAAGTTTTATATAAAAGTTACTGACTTTGATACGCTTAATTTAGAATTGCTGTCAAAAAAATTCAAGATGGCTACCTTTGAGGAACATTTACCAACTTCCTAAAGTTAAATAGGCGCCATATTGGATTTTTAGATTATTTGATAGATTTTTTAATTCTCTTTTCAACGAGCTATCATAGCATAAGATTGAAAATAAGATACCAGTTATATGAACGGTTTTTATATTTTAATCAAGTAGGCTATGATGAATTAAAAAAAAAAAAACTAAATCTATTCCAGGCAACAAAACGATAAAAGTAATTACATTAGATGTTTAAAATATCAGGGGCGCACTCATGGGTAGTAGGTTTGGGCGTTACAACTCCCTCCAAATCCAAAATTTTATATAAGTAAGCGTAGAAAAACTTTGACTTTTATGACGTCACTTATTGACTATCATATTATCCATACTTACATACGTTGAAAAGAGAATTAAAAAATCTATCAAATAATCTAAAAATCCAATATGGCGCCCATTTAACTTTAGGAAGTTGGTAAATGTTCCTCAAAAGTGGCCATCTTGAATTTTTTTTGACATCAATTCTAAATTAAGCGTATCAAAGACAGTAACTTTTATATAAAACTTTTTTTTATATCTCATATACTTTCGATGATATAAGACATTAAAGGAAATGACCAATTTTAGTTTTTTTGAATTTACAACGAACCTATTCGACATTTCGAATTTCTACAAGCAAATTTTAAATAAGCATCTAAAACTGCAAAACATTGTCCATTTAACCAATTCTCTATCTTTAATAATAAGAAAGTTACCCATGCAATCCCCCATTCCATATGTATATGGAACAACCATTGATTTTCTTAAATGTGCTAAAGCAGAATCAAATTAGTACCTGGAGTTGTATTTTAGCTGACAGGAATTGATGGTGTAAGAAAATTGGTTGGGATCTACCTGTTACTGATGAACACTGTTCAAGAATTTGCTGGAATCACTTCTACAACTTACGCTTTAATACGATCACCTAATAATTAGAAAAATAAATTTAAGATTAAAAACTGATTGCAATGTAATCACTAATCAGCTTCTATGGTTTCGTAAACATGTCAAGGCTATCTGTAAATACGTGCGTTTTTACATGTTTAGTGTTTATACATTCAATTTATTAAATGGTTCCTATATGTAACGCTAAGTTTATAACGCTAAACAAGTTGTAAATCAGCATATGATGAAAGCGCATTTTTGGTAATGCAGATCAGTATTTCATTAGCAAAGTTTAAAATTATCGATCTCACGAGTAGTCTAACTCAAAATAGACTAGAGCCTGCACCTCTACACTATAACAGAAAGCTTTTAGTGAAAATTGAAAGTCTCTAGCAATTGTAATTGCTGAAATCTCAGCCGGACAGCCAGTCAGCCAACCATAACGAATATAATAGCGTATTTTTTTTTCAAAAATGCGCTAATAATTAAGTTCTTATACTGGTAGCGCTATCTAACGATAAAATTATAGCACCTCCGAAAACCATATCGAAATTTGGGTGTATTTTAAAAAGAAAATTTCATATGTCCTAAACATCGTAACTTTTGAGAGTTTTCAAAAATAAATTAATTACATTATTATATAAATTATTAATATCTGTAATACCACATTAGATATTTTAATGAAATTTGGCATGTATGTACTATGTGTCCAGAGGCATTTTTTAACGTACCACATTGTCTTAATTTCCACCAGTGGTGTTCGTACGGAATTTCACATCCCCATTTTGGCAGACATTGATGGTACGCCACTGATGATTTCTTTGAAAATAAAAATTATTCTTGAAATCCCCAATCATTTCTAAGCAACCCTTTCTTTTCGGTTTTCGCTTAAATAAATAAAAACTCGTCCACAAAATTAAAAATTGTGACAGGCGCAGCCTACTACAATGGTAAGTATTCTTTTTTACTTAATTATTGAAAAAGTTCCAAAATTCGGAGTACGAAGCATAAGCAGATTTGATCGCTTGATTTTTTCAATTCGACGCACAATTTTAAAAAGAAAATCTTTCTCGCTGCATGATATTGTCATAATCATGCAGAGAAACGGTTTTTATTTTTTTAAGCGAAAACCGTGCATCGGATTGAAAAAAACAAAGGGATCAAATTTGCTTAGAAATGATTGGGGATTTCAAGAATAATTTTATTTTCAAAGAAATCAGTGGCGTACCATCAATGTCTGCCAAAATGGGCATGTGGAATTCCGTACGAACGCCACTGGTGGAAATTGAAAAAATGTGGTACGTTAAAAAATGCCTCTGGATACATAGTATGTGCATGTCAAATTTCATTTAAATATCTAAAGTGGTATTACAGATATTAATAATAAATGATTTATTAAACTGTATCACTCTATATCTCAAATACTATTTGGTCTATGTCTCTGTGGTCCTTCCCCCCCCCCCCTGTTGCCCTCTCTCCTACCTTCTATAGCTAATAGTACTGTTCCTCCGTGTCTTAGCACGTGCACTATCATTCTATCTCGTCTTCTCTCTTCGGTTTTCCACATTTCCGTATTTCCTGTACTAGCTCCAAGACGGCTTCGTTTGTTACCCTATCCATTCAGCTAATCCTCATTCTATCCTGCTTTTGCCTGTCTATCGTCCAGGTCCCGCTTTTATTCCAATGCTTTTTTGGCCTGCGCTATCCTCGATTTTATCTTATCTTCCTTGCTATGATTATCTTGTTGTAATAGCAAAAGGAGCGGTTATCTTAGAAAGTGTTCATTTATATAATACGGAAACTGGTTTCCTCATCGGCAGCTAAAGGGGCGCTAGAAGTTAAATCACCTTCTGTTTCTAATTCCTAAAAGAAATAAATAAATCTGGAAGCTACGGTTTCTTAGTAACAAAGCACCCAAATTTATATCACGTTTCGATACCGTGCGTTCAGATGTAACGGTTTCTTTTGTAAGAGTAGACAAGTGTCAGATTTTTACTCATAGTATAGATTTTCGTCATTGTGTTGTCGTTCCGTCTTGGAACTGGTTCGTTAAACATATTGCGACGTGAATTGTAAGTGAGCACGTCCGAAAATGGTGTGCTGATGAAAAATTGGTTTTTATCGAGGTGTCCGTTTGGTTTGGTTTGCGGAAAATAATTGGGAGATTGCCTTGATGCCGCGGGATTTAATCGATTACTATTTCATCAATATACGTAGATTGCATATTATTCGTGTTCATCCACTTTCATTTAACTAATCCGCTTGTCAAAACGGCGAGGCGAGGCCCTTTCCAACTTACTATATTTTAGGTATATTTTAGCGGAAAAACCGTTGGGAGGAATTGAACGTTTCCGGAGTCGCATGAACTAGTCTTGGGATCATCTATGTATGTGTTGCTGCATTTGCGGAAGAGCCATAACTATCACATGATATCGAGAGCACCGTGTGGGACGAAGCGTAATCTTTTGATTTGGTACTCATCATGAAGTATATGAGTAGTAAAAATGAACACGAAAATAGCTCAGAAAAGGTTGTCTAGACATTAATACTGTCTCGCTTACAGTGGCGAAATGATACTTGTATTTCTCGCTCAAAGGCAATATTACAATTATTTAAAAAAAAAGCATAATCCGCGAGATAATTGAAGGGGACCAATCTCGCTTGTACTTTTAATAAAACCGAAATGAATACGTACAACTGTTTGATTAGTAAAATCAGGATGGCGTCAATTGACACCCATCATCATTTGCGCGCAACGGATTTAATAAAAGTTGAGTGTACGAGTAATGAAACGTAAATTGCGAAAAGAACACAATTTTGCTACGAGGGAAACCGTCGCGGTTAGAAAATCGTTCATAAAATGTGATGAAGACGACAAGCGACTGAAGTCAACAACCCAATTTCTGAGATAATCCACTTTTCTGTATATTAATTTTCAGACAAGCAAGCAAGTTCTAAGATCAGATTGAAGTGGATATTTAATACACTTTTTTTTGATAAACTAAGACAAATTGAAATATGACAAACGAAAATTATGATCTATTTCGATTGCGCACCTTTAATCCCTTTGATCATTATTGAATAGGCAAATTAGGATATACAGGCTGAGTTTTTTTTCATTTTAAGCATTAGGATCTCGGCAACCGTAAGACAGATTCGGTTAAATGAGGAAAGAGTTGTAGTTTGAAGAGCTTATTCAAGATATGCTTTTGTTTTTTTTTTTAATCCACAGTTTACTAGATATGAGCATTAATAATATGAGCGAAAAACAGATTTAGTGATGCTAAGGGTCCTTGGTTCGAATCCGGGTTCGGGCATGGATATTTGTAAATGTATAGTGGGTTGGGTTGGTAGAGCAGCCTTGGCTGAAACCCCGCCCACTTAAAAATAAAGACAAAATAAAATAAATAACAAATCTGTTTTTAATTCAACTTTGAATGATCCCCTCTCTTAATTATTGAGTAACTTTTTCACACCCACAATGGCGAATTAACTTAAAAATGACGATGTCTACATTTTTTCTATTGGTTAGTATCCTTTGCACCTACAATCCCGAACGGCTGTTAATCAAACCTATCCCTTTTCAAAACCTACACATTTAGCTGACTCCACCTTGATTTTATTGATGATGAGCTCACTAACATAAGGATATATCCCTTTTATAACTGATGTAATTTGACTGCGACTGACGATTAGAGGCAAAAAAAAAAAACAAAAATGCAATGATAACCACTCAAAAAAATGACATATATTTCGTTGACCCCAATCATCCAGATAAATTCTTTAGATCATCATGACCAACATTTGTTTAGGCTTAAAAATTCTTCTTATGACTATAAGTAGTATGTCATTCTAGGAAATATAGAAAAAAATAAATCGTGTAGTTCCAATTTTTTTCGGGAATGTGTGGTTGAAAACTCCCTGATAATTGTGTAATAAAGTCCCGAGCGATTTCTTTTCTTTTGAAGGTACAGTTTTGCGGATTTTTGGATATATCTCGAAAATGGTGGGTCGTAGGAAACAATCGAAAGCTCATAAAATTTTCTACAACTTTGTTTCTATACATTTTTTCCAAAAAAAACGCATTGTTATCCAACTAAGGCCTCTAGAAGGTGAGGAATTTGAAATTTCGGTCGAACTTTTCCTCTGGCTCATTACCTGTTCAGTTTTAACGTATAAGTGGATTCTTGTACGGAATTAAATTCCCTTCAAGACTCATTGACACGCGTGGTGTTTATGCTTCGACAGTTCAACTTTACCTACAACAAAGATAAAGGGAAATTTTTTGAGCAAAGATAATGTCCAATTCAGATGTAATAACATTCCTCCCCATCAGGATCGTCTACGTCCTCTTCATTTTCTGCTAGGATTGGTGGGGACCTAAAATAGCTTCCTTGGCAACTGGCAAAGGTTATGGTGCAAAATATGTCAGACTTCTTGCACTGGGTAGTAGAACCAAAGAGTAACCATAATTCTTTGGTAGAACAACCGCAAAAGCCCAAAAGCTTTGATTCGCGTATGCGCAAACCTAGTTTTTAACGCATGCGCCAACCTAAACTTGGAAGTAATGTACGCAATTATCTTTTCTTGTAATATCTTAACAATAACAATATGAAAGTTAAAATCCGACTAAGTTTACACCATGTTTTCCAACAAATTTTCTCTTTTTGATAAACAGAGTGGTCTTAATCCTACGAACGACAGAATGCGGGTCTGATTTCCGGTCCCGCCAGACCATATTTGGTGGATACGTCTAAAGAAAATTAATACAAAATTCCTGAAATGGCTATCCAACCTGCTTGCTATATTAGCCCGCACACAAGCGGTCAATAGTGAAAATAAGAAATCTTAAAATTACGTACAGTTTCTTTTTTTTACATAATCTGATCGTAAGCAGATTTGCGATACAGAATTATCATAATTAACAACAAACTACGTCTCCAATTAATCAAATAGTGTAACCAATTCGAATAAAAATAGCGTAAAGAGAAGTACACTCTTTTGCAACCGTCGCGAACCGGCTGCTTTTTTCGGTGTGT